TCGGTCGACAGCTGGTAACTTTTGGGTACGTCTGTAGACGATGAAGTTACATTTGCTTGTTTTGTTTCTCCTGTTTGCGGCAGTGTCTCTCACATCTTTTGGTCTATCTTCTTTTCACTAGATTGGCTTTCCTCGCTGTTTGTAATCGTTACCTACTTTCCTTTCCAGTTTTTTTTCTTAAATTTTGTTAAGCCAGGTGATCGTACGTATAAAAGTATAATATTACAAAAAACTTTACTGGGAAGGACGGAGCGGTTTTGACAGTTGGGTAAAGTTTTCTTGCAATCCACTGCAGTTCGAGTTCGATCCCGGAGTCTCAAACTTTTCAGCCTTTATTTAAAGTCGATATCGCTTCTATGGCACTTATAGCTTTCGTCACCTCCTTAGCACTTCTCATCGTCTCCAAGGTGGGAGCCCCGAAGTGGGAGGGATAGAGACAGGGTAACGTCGCCCGATTTGAGAACCACTAAGGTAATCAGTCATCTAAACAAGTGTTACATTTGATAGCGTGTTCTTTAAACCAAACATCGGTTGATCATCTCGTTTGCTGATTATGCAGAGAAGTTGCTTGATTGGCTTCATTATATTCGAAGAAAAAAAAGGGAGGGAAATTTGAACGATTATTTAAGACATTTTCAAATTATATGGAAGTATTTTGATATATATTGGTATTATGTCAATTTATTTCCTTGGATTTTTTCTTTGTAAATGTTATATGGCCATTACGAAAGTCTCTTGCCTTGAAAATTATTTGGTTTGGAAAAAAATGAATTCGAGCAGTTGTTTTTGTTTACCGTTGAAGCTCGTGTTTAATTTGATATTTCTACGGCAGTGAAAAAAATACATTTATACTAAGAAGAAGGAGAATATAAAAAATAAGGGTGCTGTCCACTTCATGTCTTTGCTCAATTTTTTCATCTTTTTGTCTTGCTTAAGTGCATTTTAAATGTGCAAAAATTTTGAAATATTTTATTTAATTATTTATTTTTTGGTATTTTGGGAAAAATAAAAAAAGAAATTGGTTTTGACTGGTTGAAAATGATGATTGAAATTTATGTTTTTGCTTCTTGTTTCAATTTATGTAGTTAATCATATATGGACGCCTTTTTTATTGTTAACAGTTAGTTTTAAAGTCATATTTATCTTTTTGTTTTGAGTTTTCATAAAAAAGTGTTTTACCAATTCTGTTGGCGGTTACTGCCTATTTTGCAATTTTTGCTTTTTTATAAATCGCTAAATTTCTTTGTTTATTGTTAGTGTTATTGTTTCTGTTGCTGTTTTCAAGTAATTTTATCTGGCATAGTCCTTATTGCATTCAAAAATTACTGGTAGTAAACAGTGGTTGGCAACAAAAGAAGCAAGACAATACAGTTGCAGGCGGGGGGGGGGGAACGAAGGGAAGGAGGAAGGGTAAGGAGAAACTAAAGGAATAGGGATAGATAAGATGATAGTAACGAAAAACAAAAGAAATTTTAATGGGGAAAGTTTTGGTTATGATTTTGATTTGATATTCGTATTTTGCTGGAAAGAAGTTGAAAAAACGAGGATTTGAAGAAAGGTTGCGGACTGTGCTTCCTATCAAATTTTCTTTGCAATCTCCTTTTTCTTATTCTTCCTGTCACCTAACTCCCCCGAACTCTTCCCAATTTCACCTCCGGTATCCCAAATGAATGAAAAAGAAAACAATTTACATTTAATAGCCTTTTTTTTTTAAATTTATGATTCTCACTTTCCTTATGTAAACTTAGACTGTTGGGCAGAAAACTAATGAGTGGTACAAACTTTTCAATTCAATAGGGAACATATGGACTATTATGGTAACATGTGGAAAGAAAAAAACCACTTACAAAACTAAGAGGACCAATTATTAGATAGGATTAAGAATAGGAAATTTTTGCAGGCTGTTACTGAAATTAGTAACGGTTGTTCTTGCCAAAATTTATTATATAACAATTTATTTGATTGTTCAATAAAAAAGAAATTTGGTAAAATTTATTTCTTATTCAAACGAAAAAAAACTATAATAAAACAAAACTTTAATAACAGTGAAGGGTAAAGATTGTACTGCGAAGATAGGCACTATTGAACCTACTTAGAGTAAGGAGAAAAATTTTTATTGCTTACTTTAAATCAGGCACATTTACAGAAATATCTGAAAAGGTATTTTTATTTTCAAGAATTGGGTAACTGCTCTTGTTTCTGCTTTGCTGAGATTATCAATACCGTTGTTGAACTCCTTCTGCTTTTTTTTCTGCAATTTATTACGGTAAATCAAGTGCTGAGTCAACTGGAAGGGGGGGGGATGGGGAAAAAAATGAAACTTTGAGAAATTTCCAGCATGAAAATATGCGAAAAAAAAAACAACAACAAGTTTTCAAAGTTCAACTTTCACTTATCTGTTTTAGTGATCACAAGCAAAAAAAAGACGATGATACATTGGTTGCGCGTGAAACATTTAGAATACAATATGGATATTCTCACATGGAAGGGT